GGCCCTGGTTTTATTTATGTTTATTATTCTTGGAACTTGAATTACTGTAATTCTGTATTTTTCATCAGTTCTTGACTATAATCTCTTCAAGCATTTTTATTGCAGCATCTTTTTTTGTGACTTAAATTACACTTTATCTTCATGACTTACAGATGTAACTGAATCATATGTTTATTTAAAACCAATTACAGGCAACTCTTAAATACACAGGATAGAATGGCTATAGGAGAGTGGACTCCTTTATCGAAGACAGCCTCCTACTCACACCATACTTACTTTTTATCTAGGTATGTGGTTTGATTCCTTCATGCCCATCACTCTCAGAACTTGTTGAACATTTGTTTCACCCAGTATGACTTAAACTCTGTGAAAGTAGGGGTGTTATGTGTGAATTACGGTCTATTTTCAGATCCCAGAACTTTGGGGAGCTCCATAGTCATCTGCTAAATTATGTGTTAAATGAATGAAGATTAGCAAATAGGAAGGCAAGGATAAAATTTACTACTTTTAGAAAGGAGATGCCTTAATCAGCTTTCTGTTACTATAACAAATACCTCAGACAGTCAACTTAAAAGAGAAAAGTTTTATTTTGACTTTTGATTTTAGAGGTTCTAGCTCATGTTTAGGTGGCCCTACTGACTCTGGGCCTCTGGTATGGTGGCAGATGGCAGTGGTAGGGAGTGTCTGGTGGAACAAAACTGCTCACCTCATGGATGAACACAGTAAGAGAGACAGGGAAGAGTCCTGGATCCCATAATCACATTTGAAAATACCTCCCCTCCCCCATAGAGCAAAAGACCTTCTCTTAGGCCCCACCTCTTTTTTTCATTGAGTTTATTGGTACTTTTTAAGTATACAGTACAGTTACATTTATATTGGGATCTTGTACCTTTGCATGACAGATCTTGGTTCTCATTTCTTCCCCATATCCCTGCCCAGACCCCACCTCTTAAAATTTCCACCACCTCCTGGTACTGCCAGGCTGGGAACCAAGACTTTTAATACATGGGTCTTGTAGGACATTTAAGATAAAAACTGCAGCATGAGGCTGTTCAAATCATTTATTAATACTTTTAACAATTTATTACTAGAGAATTATAAAAGTAGATTAGAATATGAAAATATTTGAAATAGTCCAGTGAAAAATAAAATATCTTGTACTAATTAGAATTAGTCAGCTGTAATGGAATTATGGGATTTCACAGATGTATATTTACTTTAGATAGCTCAAAATGAGTGTAGCTATACAGTATTTGTCCTTTTGTGATTGGTGTATTTCACTTAGCATTATATCCTCAACATTTATCCATTTTGCAGCCTATGGCAGCATTTTCTTCTTTTTAAAGGCTGAATAATATTCTATTATATGTCTATACCACATTTTTGTATCCAGCCCTCTGTGGATGAATGTTTGATTTGCTTCTTTCTAGCTATTGTGATGAAGAAAAAAACTGATCTAGTTCATTTCTCTATTTTTACTTCATTACTTAGGATTTTGCTGATTCTTTGATATTTTTACATTGGTATCTTATGATTCTCTTCTATTTTCCTTTGTGTATATCATATAGATAGTCTCTGTGGTTGTCACTGGACTTAAAGAAAACATTTTAAACTGACAATATCTTGAGTTTAATTGCATATAAGAGCTCCTATAAAATGTTGCCTACAGTTTGTTTTTGATGATATAAATGATCACTTTGCATGTAAACATAGTTTAGTAATTACTTTTTGTATTTTGTATTTTAAATGATGTACTTGTTACCTCTAGGTGATTTGTGTACCTGCACTGCAACCCTACAGCATTCACCATTTATCTGTGCGCTAACCCTGAAGGAGTTTTGTGTTTTCCTTTGGTCTCATACTTCTGTTCACCTTCATGTTGCTTAGTTTGAAGAACTCTTTTCAGCATACTGGTCTAGTAGATTTAGTGGTGAACTCTATTTATCTGTCTAATGGAGATTAGCTTACTTACTTCTTAATTTTTGAAGGACAAATTTTACTGGTTATAGTGTACTTGGTCAGCATTTTTCCTTTCAGTGCTTTGAATATATATCATCCCACTCCCATCCTGCAAAGTTTCTACTGAGCAATTCACTAACATTCTAACGGTACCCTTGGTACATGATGAATCATTTTTCCTTTCACCTTTCAAGCTTCTCTTTATGACTTTTTACAGATTCCTTATGACATGTCTCTTTAGATAGATCTTTTCTGTAGCTTTTTAAAAAATTTTCCAGATTTAGTATGTCCATTTCTGCCCTCATGTTTGGTAGGTTTTCAGTCATTAATTCTTCTTATATACTCTTGGTGTCCTTCCCGTTTTCTTCCTCCTCTGGAACTCTCATAGTTATATGCTGTTCTTTTTTACAGTGTCCTACACGTCCCTTAGACTATCATTACTTTTTCATTCCATTTTCTTTTAGTTCCTTATATTGGTAATTTCAAAGTGCTGTCTTTGAATTTGTTGATTCTTTCTTCTGCCTTGTTAAATCTCCTTCTTGTGAATTTTTTTGTTATTGTATTATATAGCTCCAGTGTTTCTGTTTGCCTTTTCTTCTTAGCTTCTGTGTCTTTTCTGATATTGTCATTTTGTTCATATGTAATTTTCCTGATCTGATTTACTTGTCTGTGCTTTTTTTAAAAAAGTAATTTATCATCCTTATGACAGTTATTTTGATTTCTTGCCTGATAACTTATATGCCACTATTTTTTTAGAACCAGTTTAGGATATTTAATTTATTCATTTGATTAGACCATCTTTCCATGTTTCTGTGTGTGCCTTGCTATCTTTTTGTGGAAGTAAAGCATTTGAAAAATGAGTGGCTGAGTTTTTGTGATCTGGTTTTATACAGTGAAGACGTTCTCAGGGGCTGAATGTTGAATCTTTGCATTATAAACCATGAGCTTAGGCCTGTCTTCTTCCCAGGCACCACTGTAAGGTCAACTTTTCTAAATGCTTCATTGACACTAGCATAATTCTACCCGAAAGAGCATCTACTAAAAAGGTTAATTTTCCCCTGATTTTTTTTTTGTGCGTGTGTGTGTGTGTGTCTGTGTGTGTTATTCTAAACTCTTGTCTCTTAAAACCTTTATTGTACCTAATGCATTTGGTATTTTCTGCTTTAGGTAGTTATGGCTTTAGGTCTGTAGGTTCTTTCAATTTAATAAGATTCAAAAGCTCTGGAAGCCAACAGTCTAATAAATACTGCAAAACATCCTGAAAAATTTCTTGGGAAAGTAAGTACTTAAGTGGCTGGTTTCACAAAGTCTTCTATATGGCATAATCAAAAGTTTTGCAGTGTTTGGAGGCAGAACACATGCTAAACCCAGAAAAGCTAAAAGAAAGAGGCTACTTAAATTTCACAGAAGTTAGTAAAGCTTAGTCTAAAAGGAAGAATACTAATTTTATGAAATTCATGTACTATGTGCATAGTGTACAGAATTGTGTCAGAGTCTTCCAAAGTGCAACAGCTTTTTGAAGTTAACAGGACTTTATTGTTCTGACATAGGTTAGAGGAGTTTGCTCTAGTCATAATCATGGTTTTCATTTTGTGGAAGTCTGAAAATCATTGCCTAGCTTACACACAGTCTTACAAGAAACAGATGAAACTCATAGTTTCAGGTGGAGAGTACAAAGTGCATTTGTGAGTAGTCAGTCACTTAGGAAAATGAAGGTGACTGCCCTGAAATAATTGCAGATACAACTCTCATTTCTGTAGAAACTCTTTATGACTTTTGTTTATATTCCTCCTGGACAGAAATAATCTGATATTGGCTCTGACCACTCTTCTGTCAGTCCCTGAATGGTGTTAAAGGAAACATCCTTCCTTTCAGAGAGATCAACTCCCTGGCTTGTGGTCTGCCTGATTAGTAGTACTGCTCAATTCTGCCAAGGAAGATAAGTTGGCTTTCTTAAAAGATAAATGAGCTAGTTTAATGTTTGATACAGAATTCTAGCTACCATAGTGTCTGATTATATAGATTTTACACTCTTACAGTTGAATTGGCAATTCTTTAAATGAGGGCTTTCCAACCACGGGGCTATGGATCCACAGCAGGAGGTGAGCAGTGGAAAGCTGAAAGCCTTCTTCTGTATTTACAGCTGCTCCCTGTCATCATTCACGTTACTAATCTTCCTGAACTCTGACTCCTGTCAGATCCTGGTGGCATTATGTAGATTCTCATAGGATTATAAACCCTACTGTTAACTGGGAATGGCAGGGATCTAGCTTGCGTTCCTCATAACAATAATAATAGAACTAAACCTCACAAAATGTAATAGAAATACGGATAAAGGGTGCACTGTATGTAATGCACTTGAATCGTCCTGAAACCATCCCCCTCTCCTGCATCTGTGGAAGAAGGTGTGTTCCACAAAACTGACCCCTGGTTCCAAAAAGGTTGGGGACTATTGCTTTGACTTAATGGACTGTATGCTGAGCAACAAGATTTTAACTCTGTGATATAGGTGTGTATCTGTGTCTTTAATTCAGAGTAATAATAGGGAGAAATTTTTCTTAATTTTCTTTGAAGCATGAACTCACTTGAATCTTGCTTTGAGTATCTTTGCTTTGGAACAATAGCTAGCCAGCCATATCATCAATAAGTAACCCAAGTATGTTATGATATTGTTCATCACACTTGCTTTATAGCAAAACGTTGACATTAAATTATTTAGGTAATGTTTTATATTTTTGGGTTAAAATAAACTTCAATAATGTTATAGAATATCTTTATAGTCATCTGCCATTAAACAATTTGGAGTGGATAAATGTCCTGTTTTCTAGAAGTTATTAAATACAACTAAAAATCTTTCATCCTTGAGGATTTTGAAAGTAAGTCAAACACAGTTTACATCAGTATAAATCCCAGGAAAAATCTACCCATATGTTCCAAAAAGCCTTCAGATGCAGTGTTTGAGCCAGAAGGGCATTGAACCATGCTCTCCTCTCTTTGTCTCTGGTACAGTCTATTAACACACCTGTTATTTGTCTCCACAGTAAAACCAACTGTAATTGATGTCGACATTTACGTTAACAGCATTGGTCCTGTGTCATCAATAAACATGGTAAGAAGCTATTTTATTTTCTAATGTGATGGTTGTTGCACGCCTTCTTGCTGTTAATCTCTCTGTGGATTTCTGCTTGAGAATCATCCTTCAGATTTAAAGCTCACAATTCACTTCTTAAACCTCTAGCATTTGTTGGTAGTGCTGAGTAGTGAAACTGGTCATAAAAATCAAGAGGTGAAATTTGTGAAAGCACAGTGAAAAATTTCTCTGATGATTAAGGACAGTTCTTATTCCATCTTCTCCTCACAGGTGTTTGCAACACATAGATTTTTCAGATGGGATTATGTGCCATTGTGTAGTTATTGACTTTCTCTGACTTATTAGGAATGAGTATCAGTAATGGTTTGCTATTTTTAGTTCCCTTTTTTTTTCAAAATCTAGAAGATCTGCTTTTTAATGTTTCTTAGGAAAGGAACCAAGATTTCCTAGCTTCTGGTTTTATCTTCTATTTGAACCCTGAAGGTAAATTCACTGTGACTTTTTATTTCAAGAGAAATGTAGGATCAAATATGTGGTTTACCTGAGGAGAATTTTTCCACAGGCTTAAAAGTAGTTTAAGATTAAGAATTATTTAGTGAGAAAGACCCTTTTCCTGCAGATATGTTTCACTCTTAAACTAGACATGGTGTGTTGGAATGTCTCACAATGTGAGCCTTCTTTCCTTGGCTGCAGGCCATGGTGCATCTCCCTGCACCATGGTGCATTCAGGAGCACTGGATTCCCAGGATTCCCCAGCAAAAGATGTCATGAGGGCCTTCCCTGCCCTCACTGTACATTTCACACCTGAATTTGAAGATTGTGTTAAGAGTAAGTGGGGAACTTCCAAATGCTAACTTGTGTGTCCTCAGTGTACTGTGGAAGGAAATAACCCTTCCAAAATTCGTAGCAAAATCATTTCTTGTCACTGCCATATTTTAAAAGTGTTCTTTTCTTTTCAAATGAGAGTTCTGCATATAGGGTAAAATATTTTTATGGGTAAGTCCCTTTAAAACAACTATCTCAAGGCTGGGGGTATCTCAGCTCAGTGGTAGAGCATATACTTGGCATCTTCAAATCCGTGCATTGTGAGTGGCTCCAAAACCACCTCCAACAAAAAATCCCCAATCCCAGCCTAGGCTACATAGTGAGTTCCAGATCAGTCTCAACTACATAGTGAGACTCTGTCTCAAAAAAACCAAAACAAAAAAACACAAAACAAAACAAACAAATAACATTAAAGCCGGGCATGGGGGCGCACGCCTGTAATCCTAGCACTTGGGAGGCTGAGGCAGGAGGATCACTGCGAGTTCAAGACCAACCTGGGCTACATAGTTAGTTCCAGGTCAGTCTCAACTACATAGTGAGACTCTGTCTCAAAAAAACAAATAAACAAAAACAAAACAAAACAAAAATCCCCAATCTTCAAGCCATGCATACTATAGAATACAGAGGTGAAATGAATAAAAGAGAATAACTTCACAAAACCTGGAGGCTGCAGATGGCTTGTGTATTAGAGGACCTGGGCTACATAGTTAGTTCCAGGTCAGTCTCAACTACATAGTGAGACTCTGTCTCAAAAAAACAAATAAACAAAAACAAAACAAAACAAAAATCCCCAATCTTCAAGCCATGCATACTATAGAATACAGAGGTGAAATGAATAAAAGAGAATAACTTCACAAAACCTGGAGGCTGCAGATGGCTTGTGTATTAGAGGCAAACTCTGTCTCATGTCATGTTGGGAAATTCTGAGTGGAAGTCACAGGTGGCAGTGGAGGATGCTGAGGAAGTGGCAGTCATCCACAGGAGATAAGGACTAGGTGGGCACTTTCTCGGGGTTTATGAGAGGAGAGCAGGCTCCTCCAGTGAGGTCATCTCAGTCCGGAACCCGACTGAGAGTGGAGTTTGCTGGGTGGGACAGACTAAGGTCCCTCAATGAGGAACAAGAGGACAGTACGTGTGATTGGGTGGGTGGATTAAGAGAGCAGCGCTAAGGAGTCACTGGGGTGGGGGTGCGGGGTACACAGGGATGTACCTTGGTCTTGCATGGCTCAGGCCTTGAAGTCATGGTGGAGATTTGGGTTTGTCCTTAGCTTTGTTTGAAATAGATCCCAGCCTTTGAGGAGTGTGAACACCACTACTGTTGAGATGCACACAGATATTTCATGAGATTCTTACAAATCCCAGAAGATCTCAAGTCAGCCCTCCTTTCATCCTTTAAATTAAAAAAAAAATAACCACCCTCAACAACTACATGGTGACTCTGATGGTTAAGTGCAGCTGTCAGTTTGGCTTGGGAGCCATCGAGGGGATTAGTAATGCATACTTCTGGGTGGGCCATGGAGGCATGCTTTTGGGATCTGTATCTGATCCCTAGCCCCTTTCACTGTGGGGCTATTTCCCTGCTCTGCTTCCTGGTCACCATGAACTGAGCAGTTTCTCTTTACTTTGCCCTTGTACCACGATGTTTCACATGCACCCACTGTATCTGTGAAGACAAATGACACAGCGCGTAGGAATGTAAATGCTGAAAAGTGAAACTTGGCCCTCAGGACAACAGAAAACAATTTAAAAGTAGAGAATGAGCTCTACGTGGATAGTGGAATTGAGTCAGCTCTGTGTATAAAATGCATGGAATTGAGTCAATTTCATAGTGTGTGAAAAACAAAAAAGAGTGAAAGAGAAATGACAATTGTGAAGAATATATTATAGGAACAAGCATCTTTTAGAGATTTGTGCAGTTTCATGACGTGATTTTTATTGGGTTTTTCATTATTAAAACATTATTAAGCTAATGTCTCATACTAATATGTGTTTTTTTCCAAATAGCCAATAAATGATGAATAAATTAGGGAAGCCAATGACTATGTCTTCATATTCCCTCCTCTTGTGGCTTTTTATTGACATCATTAATTCTGAAGACTCAGCTTTAGACCTTCTTTTTACTGAAGAAAAAATGGAGTTGAATTTCAATCCATTGTTCGCTAGGTTGATTTTGTTTTGTTTATCGTCAGTTCTTTCAACCACTTTTAGTCGTGGGCCTGGGTCAGAGGGGACTGGGAGAACACTCCTTTATGGAAATATTCCTAGCATCTGCTGTCCTCATCCTCATGACATGTCTGAGTGCAGAGCTCCCCGTAGAAATCCTCCGTGGGTTGTTTCAGGGTGGCACAGACGGCATGCTAGGGAACTCATGAGTTTACTTTTGAAAATATTCACTCTAAACAATCTGTGAGGAAGGGAAAGAGGAAGAGTTACTAATTACTAATTACTAATTCCGAGCTATAAGCCTCATCTAACCCTTACAAGATCCCTGTGGAGAACATATTACTTGCTGCTCATGTTTGTGTCGGAATAGCTGGAGCACATGGGACTCTAGAGCAGAGATTCTCAGAATAGTCCCCTTCCCTTCCTGGCACTCTGGGCCTGCAGCCCAAGCTCATCAGGTATGTGGCAGCTGTATGCACCAGAAGAGCTACTGCCTTAGCTAACCACTTGAGCTTGAAAAGGCTCAGCACCAGTCTAGTGTTGGGATTGCTTTTCATTAACAATTCAATTAATTAATAGATTTCATTTTATGGAAAGTTGTAAAGGTGGGGCAGAAAGTACACAGAATTTCCATCTACCTTTCCTGCTCTGTGCACATAGCACACACACACTTTCCCCATTTATTAGTGTCTTTGCATTACTGTGCTATGTTTGTTAAGACCAGTAGACATCATAATTACCTGAAGTTCATAGTTTAAATTGGAATCCATTCTTGGCATCTTGCATTCTGCGTATTGGAAAAATGTGAAAGGACACATATCCGCCATCATAGTATGATACAACATGGTTCCCCTACCCTAAAATCCTCTGCACCACCTGTTCATCCTCTCTCCTATAGCCCCCAGCGTCTACTGATCTTTTCACTCTTTCTATAGTTTTGCCTTTTGAATTTCATAATTTTGAAATCATGTATACGTCTTCCTGTCTGGCTTCCTTTGTTTGTTTCCAAAAGAAAAATTTATATCAGTATAAATTCACCTGAATTCTAATACATATAGTGAGTCACTATGATGGGACTAAAATGTTTGTTACCCAGAAATTAATGGAGCACCCAGGTGAGTAACGGGCACAGGTGAAACAACACCAGAAGGTGCCTCATTGTATGATATGTAACCTGAAAATTTAAAACTTCAAGAATGTTGTGCAACTGCAGGAGCTGCAGGGGAAACACAAGATCTACCAACCTCGTTCTTGTTTCATTCCACTTATGGCTACAGCTTTAAGAGGTGTTGTTCTTATGTTTTAGATCAAAAATGGTCCCCCAAATTTTCTTGTGGGTGTATAGTGACTGGATCATAGATGGGCCAAGTGGACTTGTCCATTGAGGAGTTCAGAGGCTAAATGTGCTATTAAGAAATAGGGCCTGGATGGACGTGGTCATAGGAGTTGTGACCAGAAAGGGTGTGTGTTCTTATCCATGACTCCTCCCTTTTCTCTCTGCTTTCTGGTTGCTGTGGGGTGAGCATCTTTTCATCAAGTATGTCCCTCTGCCGTCCTATTTCTGCCTACAAGCCAGCTGATCAAGGACTAAAAGTGTGAGCCAAAACATACCTCTCCTCTTTTAAATTGTGGGTATTTGGTATTTTTGTCCCAGTGACAAGAAAGTAACTCAGATAGCAACCATGTTTCTGTTAAAGTATGGGTGGAATGTTAACTCCATTCCAGAAATGTTGGTAATGGAGGGTGATGTATTGCTTTGTAGAATTTTTCTAATGGCATCTAGATTCAAGAAATCCAACCTTATTTTGGTTTTCTTTGCATTTATTCTGCCTAAGGTTCATAGCAACTTTTGCAGCTATATTTTGACACCTTTCATCAGTGTACAAAAAATCTTGTTCATTATTTCTTTTCCTTTTGATTGACATATAGTAATTACTTACATTTATGAGATACAGTGTGGTGGTAGATTCATGTATGCATTTTGTAATTATCAAATAAGGGTAACTAATATATCTGTGACCTTAAACATT